GCCATGTGATTGGTTGATTAGATAATTGCATTAATGAGAAATTGAACAGGTGTTCCTAATAATCCTTTAGGTGAGTGTATATGTTGTCCTCCTATACGGAACACAAATTGGCCTATATGTATGTACATGTATCACATATATAAATATATGTAATTTTAATATATTTAAATATAGATCTACAATATATTTCACATGTATCTCAAGTACATGGTTAAATATATTTTTCTTGTGTATGGGTTATCACATAGTCTGCAGCTTGAAACAGGGTGATGACATCATAACTGTGGGAGGGGCCCGGTCTCAAAGCTGCGGGGGTCTTATAGGTACACCACTGGATGTCATCCATTCTCAGACAAGCTTAGACAGAATCTGACACCAAGGGGAAGATCAAGAAGGATCTCGGGTATTTTCTTCTTAAATCAAGTAAATGGCTGGCTTGCAGAATTCTTTCCCTCCATGCTACACAGATAATTTTAATCATTTTTTTCAACCGGTCCAGTGACTGTGTGTGAGAGACAGTTCACCAATGACGATTAGCATTCAAGTAAGATCACATATATTGGCTTTTACATCCATAATCTGATCCATTCAACCATTATGCCAGGTCGTCTTCCCACTGGCCCCCAAAACCTTAAGACTGCTCACTTCAGGAATCAGGTAACCAGTGGGACTTGGGGCTGCTGACTGGGTGGGAAGCTCCAGGATGAGGTGCACAAGAGGCAGATTCAAATGCAGATGACTGGAAAACCAGGAACAGGAGCAATAGGAAGTGGGGCTGCAACACAGAAAGCAGAATACTCAAAAAACCTTAAGAACAAGTTACCCAGCACACCAGCTGTGGGGTTCTGGCTAATCAGGACCGTGCCATTTGGAGCTACTGATTCAATACAGAATCAGTTTTGAGTTCTTGCCAAGTAGGGCAGAGAAACCATGGACAGAATGATATCACAAGCCACACACTATGGGCAATTTTGAGGCTGCAGTTCACTCAGAGGTAGGAAGCAATAGTACAGGCCACTGACCCACCACCCAAAATGTCTAAAAAATAAGCTTATGTGTTGTCTCTGGTTGCAGCCACTTTAGTTGAATTTACAATTTCATAGATTACAAAAGGTCAGAGTACTGAGGGCTTTTTGTCAAATGTGACATAATTAAATTCAATGTTAATCCTTCTACTTCCTTTATTTAATCAGTGAAAAAGCTTCCCGGAAACTCATATACAGTATTGCAATTACTGTGGTCAGATCTCTCTTCTATGATAATAATTCTTGTCTCTGCTTTCGCTCCATGTCTCTCCCACTTCTTCATCTATGAGATGAGCCCCTGGCCCCCAGATGTAAGCTCTCCCCCTTCAGCTCCAGTGCAAACCTCTGGGTGGCAGAAGCCCAGGGTCTTGCTGACCTTATGGCTGCAGGATTTCAGGCTGCCAATTTTGTCAGCTAAATGTTTTATGGTACTATGGGTTTTATTATAAATCAATGCACAGAAACTGACACTTCCTATCGGTCCATCTGCTTAAGACAAGCGGGCACCCAAGTGACAGCAGTAGGAAAGCATTGTCTGGGTTCAGTTTTGAGGTCCAGTTTTGATCTGTCCTCCTTGATGGAAAAACAGTCTGTTAAAGCTTGAATGTCAGCATCAATTCTGCTGTAAACATAAGGTAGTTCAGGGCTTGCTTGCTCACAGTAAAGCATAACTCAATTTGTTTCTGTACTATATATTAATTTTGGTTCTACGACATTCAATGGTGGCCATTGGCATGGCTTGCAGTAGTTTCCCTTCCATTGTTCTGTGCGATGGCTAACTGCATACAATCACACAAACAAATGGCATGCTCTGTGGAAGGCAGTAATACCTAAAGATTTCCAACTAACTGCATTTCCTCATTTATTTGCTTGCAAAGATTGAACAGGCGTCTTTATAAAGCTGGATGTCAAAAGCACGTAAAAAGCTGAAATATTCCAAGAGTAGTAGAGCACAATAACAGATATCAGCACACTGGGCAAATGTACGATATCAGCACATTGGGCAAATGTCCTTGAAACGTGCTTTCTAAACCAATCCATCAATCCTGCCTCGGCTCTGTGTGTTCATGCATGTTGTCCCCTGCCCCACGTGTCTTTGGGGTTGTCTGCTGTGCTTCCGCAGATGAAATACATGCAGTCGAAATAATTGTTGTCCTTGTATTGCCCACAGAGTGTGATTGTGTGCACATATTTTTGCAATAACATCATACAGTTTGTAAAGAAAACATACAGTGGTGACAGAAAGTCTTGGGATGCTTATCTCGGTAAAAATGCTGAAAATGTATTAGTTTCATAACAAAAATGTTATGAAGGAAAATGGGGACGGGGTGACGATCCACATGCAGCCTTGTCATGAACTGAAGGGGTTTTATTGTGGAACAAACACAAAATCACTGCAAGGGATCAAACAGGAGACAGGGAGGAACAACGAGGAGAGACTAGAACTAATCTAAATGCAGAGAGCACAAATGGAAGCAAACATCCAGCACCAATTGCTGCACTGCCAGCCCTACCATCTACAACAGCTATGATGATCGAACTGGGGAGCTTGGCAAGGGCAGGCACTTACTGTATATACACAGACTGACACATTAGGACTGGAAACAATTAAACACATTGGGGAGATATGGCATGGCCAATGACTTATGATGGAGCTGACAGGAACAGATCCTGAAAAGAAGTCATTACTTAATTTATTGTTTACAACAAAAAAAAACACATTAGAAACAAGCAGTCTTTTAACTAAAATATTCATTTCAATTGCAGCAGCCCATAACACTTTTTTGGAATGTTTTGGAATGTTTTTCAGTTCACATTTGTTCTTGTTGAGTGATACTGTGTGAATGCATAGTTTAGTTATCCTTGCTTGTTGTTTTTGTCATATACAGCTCTGGAAAAAATTAAGAGACCACACCACAATATTTTGTTTCACTCATATATCAATTTAGTTTGCATCTGTGAATAATACATATATGGGACTTCAGTCCGGCTTCTTCTAGGAGCCTGATGCGCATTGTCCTAGCAGTGCACTTCACACCTGCACTTGCACCATAAAAGCACTGGCACACTCCAAGCTTTGTAAAGAAAAGCTCAAACCTGCCTAGTCTACACCATCATGTTAGCACCTGTTTCAACAGATTATCATAGACAACAAACCTAAATGAAATGTAATGGCATTACAATGTTCTTTAGGAATGTTTAAGAAGTTTTTTTAAGAAGTATTTTTGCATGTTTTTCCAAGACATTAGGTCATAATAATGTCATGATAAACATCTAAACGATCTAGCTTTTCTGTAAAATGAAGTTTTACTGAACTGTCATATGTTACTGTTAAACATTTTTTACGAATCAAACATTTCAATCTCTTAAAAAACGTGTAATCACTACTAAACAATTCACAAGTCAAAACCAGGACAGAATACCAATCCAAAAGATCACGTCTGTGGCAGGTAACTTGGCAAGTAACTTAGGCACCATTGGGGAGGTTATTCACAAAAGAAATTGATTAAAGACATAGCTGGAAAGTTTAGGTCCAGAAAGTACAAATCCAGGCGAAGGTATTATTTCAACCAACCAGTTGAGTACATAGAGTCACAGTCAACTGGTAGGTTGAAATAAAACACTGGTCCAGATTTGTACTTTCTGGTCCTGAACTTTCCACCTCTGTCTTTAATCTGTTTCTTTTGTGAGTATCTTCCCCAACACTGGATACAGGAAAATAGCTGTTCTTAAATACAGTGGCACCTCGGTTCTCGAACTTAATCCACTCCGGATCAAATCCTAAAAAGTTCTGATCGAATTTTTCCCATAAGAAATAATGGAAAATCAATTAATTGGTTCCCGGTCCTCCAAAATTACACCTATTTTTTTCAGCATTTAAACACAAAATAAACAGGTTAAAACAAGAGCATTTTTTCTTAATGGCTTCCAAAACGATAAAGATCTTATCCCAACATTACCCCTGTCCTGCCCCGATCGTCCGCTCCTTCCGTGTGGCACGCCCTCTCCTTAACCCCGTGTGGAATCCCCGTGTGATCAGCTGTTTCTGGTTGTTGTCATTAGTCCTAAAAGTCCGCGTTTCAGTTTGTTAGCCCAGTCCGGTCATTGGGTGCGTTCAACTTGTTTACAGAAACTGGAACCGCCTCCGTGACGACACACCTTTTTCACGAAAATCGGAAATACGTAATCGTAGGGTAAACTTAGTTCCGGTCAAGCGTCAATGCATTAGAAAACCCGGGATCAGAGAAAATTGAGCAGAGAATGTACACAACCTCTCTGACAAATTTGCCCAAATTTACATTTGCGGATGTTGCTAAATTCGTGGAGGAAAACTCCGTCATGAGAAAGAGCAAACTTGATAAAGGCTACAAATTTTTCCACGAAGAATTTGTCCATAAGTATCAAGGTAACTGTTACTGAACTGCTCACCACATGTAAATTTTAAAGTAAAGACATTAGCGGCTTTTGTTAATGTTTAAAGGTAGAAAAACTTTAGATGTATTTAATAGGCAAACAAAAATGTGTTATATGTATTTATACTAATTTAAAATATCTTAACTTTAGACGCAAAATGAACGCCCTACACACGCACACAGAAAAACCCGGACATGTGCACAAGCGCACAACCAAGAGTGGGGCTTTAGAGTTTGATAATTAAACTCAATTAAAAAACACTACACATATATAGTTTGCGTTTTTCTTTAAATGTATAAGGATCGTTTTGTTGTAGCGAAATTTTTAAATAGTATGAGCGTGATGTTACTGATGTAAATCATTTAGGCAACAAGCATCAAAAAACATTTTAGCTGTATTTTGTTAGTTAATTTTAAAGAAGTTGGCCCCGGTTTATTTAATTACCTGTATTAGCTATAGGAACTAGTGCCCGGTATTTAGCGACATACATCAAAAACATTTTGAAACTTTGGTAGAATAACGCCTTAGTTATTTTAATAAACAGGCTTTTTCAGTAAATGTTTGTTCACACTCGTGCGAGCGCACGCCCACACACACACAAAGCAAAACCACGGACATGCACATTTCAAATAAACCCCTTAATCATAACGTTTTCTAAGTAATGAAGCACTTTTCGGCCAATGTGTTGTTTAAAATAAAATACCCTAAGCACATCGACGGAACCCAGAGCCTCTATCGATGGATTTTCGCGTTTGGTGAAATACTTTTTCTATTTTACATTGAAATAAAACTGTTAAACTGATTACGGCTTTTATTCTTTTTTAAAAACTTGGGCTAAAATATTTGCGCTTGTTTCACATTTGCTCTTTTTTACACTAATTACAGTGCTTCGCTCGGGCATGCCTCTACATTTGTGCTTAAAGTACGGTGTTTGCTGTGTCTGCTGCAGACGTAAGTGCTCCCCTTTTTAACTGTGAAGTTTGGTCCTTCATCCCACCGGATAGCCAGAATCCATTTACGTCGAACTTCACCATTAAGAGGGAAGGAATTAAAAGATAGATGTGGCTGCTTCTGGGCATTACAAGAACAGCCCGGTACACTGCAAGAAGAGGTCGCTGCTTGCGCCATTTTTTTAAAACCGGCGGAAATAAAGATACCCTACGGTTACGTATTTCCGGTTAAAAATGCGGAAGTTGTGAAAAAGGTCTAGGCTGAAGAGTTTACACGCATGACGTTTGTATCCCAGGCAGTTCCCATTAGTGATGGGAAGTTCGGCTCAATTAACTGATTCGATTCTTTCGAACTGTCCGTTGTAATGAATCGATACTAAAACCGATTATATGATTCACTTTTTTTTAAGTCTTTTTGTTGCGCCTCATCATATGACTCAACGAATCATGGGATCGGATAATAAATCTGTCTCATGGTTACGTTATTTGACTGAAAGATAGCGCTGGTGTTCAACAAAAATGTTCAGCTTGACTATTCAGAATAAAAAAAACTATATAAAAAGCAGAAAGGGTGTCGATGCTGAATAAACACGCGTGTATATATATAGTTCTTATTTTCTTTACTTAAGCCAAATTCATGTGCATAACTATCAAGGACTAAATCACAGTTAACAACTGCAATATTACCAATACAATCACATACACATACAATGAGCATGAGTAAACTTGCATACGTTGTTGTATAAACGTCAAAGTTAATAAATATCTTAGTTTGTTCTTTGATGAAAGACATATAGTTTTATTATACAGAAATGCAATAATTTACTGTTGTGATAAATGATGAAGAGCTTCGTTTATTTTATTAATTTTTAACCGCGTAACTGCATTTCCGCAGTAAACGTCTCGAGGGCTCTTGGGATCGGTTCGCTAACCGTTCGTTTGATTCACTGACCGAGTGTCCGAAAACTCGTAAGTTCCGATTCGTTCATCGAACAGGTTCTTTTGAGTCACCGAATGTCCGAAAACCCGTAAGTTCGATTCGTTCATCGAACAGGCTCTCGGGTTTTTTGGAGTCAGCGAGTTAAAGACCAGATACTCGGCCGTTCGGGTGTTCTTGGCACCAGACTGAAGTTTCCGAACGCAAAAGTGACGAATGTAAGAATAAACCTAAAAGTGATGACAAACGCAAACGGAACATGAAAAATAAATCCGAAATCGCGGGGGATGCTTTTGTATGTTGAATAGTCAAATATCAGTTTTAAAACCGTTTTAAAATAATTTAAAAAATCGATTCGTTCCGACGTACGAATCAGTTCAACCCGTTCGGTCATCACTAGTTCCCATACATAATCTGCTATTTCTGCCGAATATCATGTAAAGCAGTGAGAATTGGTTTTCAGTTAATTTACCTGGTAAGATAAAGTTTAAATGAATGACATAAATGCTCTAATAGTACACGTAAGTTAGTGGTTTATTTATTGTTAGTTACTGTAATGTTGCGCTGCTTTATTTGGTTAATCGTCCAGTCTGTAAAGAAGGCATTCCAGTAAGAATTGCACTGTAGTATGACTCATTTCCTGGCGCATACAATTTTTATTAGGTCAGCGTTCACAGTTCGACTTCTGATATTCAGATCGTGCTCTAGGTCAAACTGGTTTGTTCGACTTTCAAGAAATTCGAGTTCTAGTGAGTTCGAGAACCGAGGTACCACTGTACATGTCATTTTTAAATACATAAATCATTTGACAAAATGCAGTTCATACTTGTACTGAAAATGCTTAAACACATCAATAAAACACAAACACTTATGCTTTATTTTTAAGTGCATCATATAATTTCTGATATATGGAGGAACTAGTAAAGATATCACAAGTGAATATTACATATGAATATGACAGTTGATTGACCTCGTTAAACTGAGTAACTGCATGTCTGCTGTGACTAGCTGAGGACTGAAATGTACATTCCTAGAAGGTGAATTTATACTGTGATTTCATTGGCTTATGCCTTGGCTCCATCAGTGTCAATGAGTTTAATGGGGTCCCCTCCTTCATCCTCCTCCTCTTCATCCAGTTGCAGGCTGCCAGAGGAGAGGCGCATGCATGCCAGAGGGGCGGTGCTAACCAGCATGCCCAGTGTAGGGCAGTAGTATGGGTATATCAACTCGGAGTCAGAGTCACTAAAACTTTCTGCCCCCAGCACACAAAGAGAGGCGGGACGCTCTGAGAGAAGATTGGGCCCAAGGGGGAGGTATGTGGGTCTGGCAGGGGACTGACGCCGGGACAGGTGTGCATAATGGCCCAGCGGGCAGAATTCGGAAGCCCGGCAAGCAGCAGTTGGACCCTGGAGCTTCACGTCAGCCTGGCTCCATGCACGCCGTGGCAGGCTAGCCTGGTAGCTAAAGTCATCACTGTATTGGCCTGTCTCTACCCTGCTGAAGCCCAGGCTACCACCGTAGACAGCCCTGTCCCCCGGAGCCCCCAGTCGGCTCTGCCTCAGTCGCTGTCGCAGGCGGGGGGACAGGGAGGCAGCTGCGGAGAAAGTGGAGGAGCGGGTAACGTCATCCAGCAGGGAGAGCCGGGGAGCAGGACAGGTGGTACGAGTCTTTGCTGGGGTGCAAGCCTGGGCAGCTAGAGGGAAGGTCGGCAGGACAGGGTGCAGCCTCAGGTGGGAATCACTGGGGTACAACAGCACCAACTGCTGGGTCCCAGTGATGGAGTGTGCCCGCGACATTTCCATTGATTTCAGCCTCTGCCCCCCTTGGCTATGCCTCTCTGGTGCCACCTCTCTGTCAGAGGAGGCAGAGCAAGGATGTCTGAAGGCAACCTGCTCCGGGGCGTGAAGACGTGAGCGCTCCAGCTCAGCTGCAAAAACATCCTCCATGGTAGACTTGCTGCGAAGGTCCCCCAGAAGTTGGGGGCCCCCATCCTGAGACCCAAGCTTCAATGCTTGGCTGGAGCTGGGGTAAGTGTGGGCTTGGTCGTACAGCTGCCAAAAAGCACATAACACACACATGCTCAGAACCTCATAGCAAAGCCACTTGTTCTGTGTGTTATTGTCAGCATACACGATTTTGCAGATTCCTTCATAACATCTGCATGGCCACCATCATCACTGTCTCTCAGATCATTCCAGCCATGTATAACGGATTTTATCCACAGCTTAATGGTTAAATGAGTGAATCAATATTTATAGAATCTCAAAAGGTTCTGACCCTGATAATACATATAATACAAAGACTGGGAGTTCTTCCACAACCTGTAATATTATGAAGGAGGCTGTGAACAATCATCAGAATTTGATGAAGCCCTAAATATTTCCATTGGTTTATTGTATTAAGTTAAATGTGACTTGTATTACAGCTGACATAGGAAGCTGCTGAACACTTTTCATAATCCAAAGTTTAGTCAAACTTCTTTAAAGGACTTCCAAAATTATAATTATTTGATTGATTAGTTAGTGTACAGAATGTACAGAACTCTTTATACATAGTTAGGCATGTTTATATGTGTTATTCACATAAATGCTTTTAATGCGCTAAATAAACCACATCCAGCATACAACAATTGGGCATTTGTATTTTTTCCAACAAAAATATCCATAAACACTCTTTTCTGGCGCAACAAAGTATGTACTTCCAATAACTCAATATAGTCCATTGTGGAAATCACTTTGTATTTGTTACTCTCTTATATGGACTGTTAGAAATTCTAGCCAACTCTTGATGATGCAGGTCACAGGTACCCAAATCATCATTGTCTTCTCTGTACTGATGTTTCAGAATATTCATATTTCACCCTATGTCATTCACAGTGAAAATATGATACAGTAGCTTCACAGTTTCATTCATTCTCTCTATATAGACAGAGTCTTTACTTATGTGGCTTTAACATGTGCAACTCCAGGCCTGAGATATTCAGGTGTAAATACCTCTTTGTGACATGGTGTCTTTGACTTAAGCCCTTTGGGGCACATTATTGTGAAATTCTAATAAGATGTGTGAATATTTCTGTCTTTATTTCCCTCATCCCTGGTTTCTCTCTTTCTCCTGACAGTGACAGTCAGATGATTGCCAATACTGGAGTTACCTGTTTGGAGACATCAGTAAGGAGGTCTGGAGATGAACTGCAGTGACGTGTGTCAAACTGAGCTTTATAACACTTCCTGTAAAGCACAGAGAAGTCACACCCTTACCTCTAAAGCCGGGGTATTCAAACTGGGTCACAGGTGGGGGGAAAATTAGAGTGCTGTGTGTGGGATGTGGGGTTTGAGCTGGGGGCAGATCCATTTCAAATTTGCAACCTTCAGACATTTTAAAAATTATGTGAACACATTATATGCCTCTAGACATTATATAGTGCTGCCAAATTAAAATATTAGAGCATGTAAAATAAACAGGCACCACACACTGAATACATCAAACTGTTATGCCTAGTAATGTAACAAAAGTTTACGGTGGGAAAATTGCTCAGCTAATACTGATGTACTTGGAGGGACCATGGAGAAATTATGAGCAGTTAGCGGGGTTAAAGAAAATGTGACAGCAAGGCAACAACTAAAATGAGTAAAACAGCGTCTATCTGTTCTCACCTTTCGAAGGGCAGGTTTGTCTTGTCTTCCTTACTTATGCAGTCCAGGAGCTGCATCTGAGTTCTGCCACTGAATTAGACAACATCATGTAAATAATATGGCTGGTTAAGATATCTGTAGAGGGTAGCATTGATATCAAATACCTAAGGAAGGTATTGGCTGGAGGAAATCAAAAGAAAGTCAAATCATCAGCTTAATGTCCAGTAAGCATAACATTCATATAAGTTATGAGTTACATCAGAGAACTGCCTGCTGAGAACTGCTCTGTTTTTGATATTGTATTAAATTAACATCTGTTTGTGAAATTTTTGCTGATTCCCATCAGAAATCAGATTATGTTTATCATCGTGTAGTTCTGGGAAACTTGCCTAGTGGCTAAAATGACATAATTAAATTTACAGAGCAAAAACTAGTTTCTGATGATATTAATAAAACATATACTGTAGTGTGTCGCAGCTGAGTTAGGATATTGCTCATTAAATGCCACATGATGGGTCACAGATAATGGTATTGGGGGTCATAGGTCACTTTACCTATATCTGAAGCTGGAGCCCTTGCTGGACAAGATGGAGCGGTGTGTAGCCTGCGGTTCCTCCGCCAGGCGGAAAAAGGCGTGGTACTCCACGCATATCCTCCAGAAGGCCTTGCAGACATCACGACTTGCCATGGTGAACTCCACCATGTCTCTGCTGGATGGCTGGCCGCACATGGGCACCCAAAATGCCAGCGAGCTACTTACTGGCACCTTATACCAAACTTGGAACTACATATCAACTGCATCTCCTACTTAATACTGTTTGCATATTTAATGACTAGTGATGGACAAAATGAGGCTTCATGAACTATTTTCTGATACCACTAGATGGTGCTCTCTGTTCAAAAAAGTGAACAAAGCATGCCCCAAAGCAAAACAAGAACACCATCTAGTCTGATCAAAAAAATACAGCAAACGGTTAATGAGGCATCATTTTGTCCATCACTATTAACAACAAACCCATTAAGTATTACGTATCTGGCTGGATATCAGCTGCATATAAAGGAAAGACAGTAAAAAAAACACACGCACACATACTTACAACAAACTCTCCATGAAGTTTTATCAAAAAATGCTTCCGCTTAAAGCTCAGCTTGCGTATTTTTGCCCAGCTGAAGGTGTTGATCTTTGTGTTACCCTGGAAAACCAGAATAAATTGCAATCAATAACCCTTTAATTGAATTAATACAATCCATTTCTCTTGTTCATATGATTCCAGTTAAAACAGCTTCCGCAGACTGGGGCACTCGGCTGCCAGTCCAAATTACTTGCTCCATACCATGCAGTTCTATTCAACTGCCCCTACTTCAGGCTGTCCTGCATGTTTGCCTCTAAACTAGGCACCTATACCTGATTGCTCCAACCCTAGGTTCACCTCCCTGCACCTAACGGCTCCAGGGGAGACTGTTTGGTCTGTACTGGCTATTGATTAATGCTTATTTAATTCCTGAAAGGTCACAGTTGGCATAATAAGCAACATAACAGACAATAGAATACAATTGTGTAGAATGTAGCAAGTCCATCATAGTCCAAAGGATTAAAACAGGAAGTGCTCTGTGCTATATGTTGTTAAGTATTGTAGCACTAGAGGGTAGCATGGCAGTTTGGACTGGTGCCAACTTATATAACTCCATAGTTATATGTTACTCATTGTATATAGCGTCTGCATGTGTGTGCATGCCCACCGTGCACACACGGGCACGGTGGCCTGTGTGAGTGTGTTGTCAGTATGACTGATACGGTGCAATAAAATATGTGCAATAAAAACCACCTTGTGGTTAAAACCCAAAACTGTCCCACTGCAATCACTGAGAGCAAGATGGCTCAGCGACCAACCTTCACAATATGTTATTGAAGTGAAATTATATTTGAAGTATTTATTTTAAAAACTGTAAGAATGTGACCACCTGCAAGGGACTGTCTCTTGCCTTGTGCCCTGTGCTGATGAATGGAAGACAGGATGGATAGATGGATGGATTGTGACCTTTTGGTGTTTGTATGAAAGCGCTACCATATGTGCTGTTCATATCACCTTGGATAATAATGTCATATAGAACCAGAGTGTTTGGTGCATTATGAGTAATGCTTAAATCAGGATTATGTCTGTCTGAGGGGTACTTGCTTCAGAGGCCTACCTGGAAGACCAGAACACCCATATGAGTGACAGCCAGGCTGAGTCTCAGTCCCTCCCCATCATGGGCAGCATGGGGCCGGATGCCGTACATGTCCAGTTTGCGTGCCACCTCCAACAGCTGCACGTCTGACTCCTCTGCCGTTTGGCCCCTGGCACACAGCCATGGTTAATGCTACCTGCTGCTGTCCAGTCCTCCTATTACAGCCTCTCCATATACAGCACCGTGTAAAAGACAGTCAAAGAGGTTTCATTAATCTTCATTTTAGAGTAAAATTCTCAGGTGTAAAAATGATTTTATGTCTGTCACAGTGTGTTAGCTTACTTCTTCTCAAGTCACTTCAGAAATTTCAGTTACCATCCAATATACCCATGCAGGGCCATTTTTGGCATAGAGTGGCACCACCCCCAGGGGGTGGCAGAAAGTAGCTATTTTTAAATGAATTTGGTGCACCAGGCAAGATCTATTTGCCTTTTTCCATTAATTTTGATCAAAGTGACATTCAATGCCCACGTTCCGTTTTCAAATAACTAAATGCTGCAGACTACACACAGATCACCCTGGTAAGTGGCGCCTTACACACAGACCATGAAAAACCAAATATAAAAATATCCATCCATCCTTTTTCTCCCACTTATCCGAGGTCGGGTCGCGGGAGCAGCAGTCTCAGCAGGGAATCCCAGACTTCCCTCTCCCCGGCCACGTCATCCACCTCTGGGGGAATCCCGAGGCATTCCCAGGCCAGCCGAGAGACATACTCCTTCCAGCGTGCCCTGGGTCTTCCCCGGTGCCTCCTCCCAGTGGGACATGCCCGGAACACCTCACCAGGGAGGCATCCAGGAGGCATCCTAATCAGATGCCTGAGCCACCTCATCTGGCTCCTCTCGATGCGGAGGAGCAGTGGTTCTACTCTGAGTCCCTCCCGAATGACCGAGCTCCTCACCCTATCTCTAAGGGAGAGCCCAGCCACCCTGCGGAGGAAACTCATTTCGGCCGCTTGCACTCGTGATCTCGTTCTTTCGGTCACTACCCACAGCTCGTGACCATAGGTGAGGGTAGGAACGTAGATCGACTGGTAAATCGAGAGCTTTGCCTTTTGGCTCAGCTCCTTCTTCACCATGACAGACCGATGCAGCGCCCGCATCACTGCGGACGCCGCACCGATCCACCTGTCGATCTCCCGGTCCATCCTTCCCTCACTCGTGAACAAGACCCCGAGATACTTAAACTCCTCCATTTGGGGGAGGACCCCATCCCCGACCTGGAGAAAGCATTCCACCCTTTTCCGGCTGAGGACCATGGTGAGAGCTGAAGGTCACGGTCCAATGAGGCCAACAGAACCACATCATCTGCAAAAAGCAGAGACCTGATCCTGAGGTCACCAAACCGGACACCCTCAACGCCCTGGCTGCGCCTAGAAATTCTGTCCATAAAAACTATGAAAAGAATCGGTGACAAAGGGCAGCCCTGACGGAGTCCAACCTTCACCGGAAACAAGTCTGACTTATTGCCGCCCATGCGGACCAAGCTCTGGCACCGGTCATATAGGGACCGAACACCCTTTAAAAGGAAGCCCGGCACCCCATACTCCCGGAGCACCCCCCACAGGACTCCCCGAGGGACACGGTCGAATGCCTTTTCCAAGTCCACAAAACACATGTAGACTGGTTGGGCAAACTCCCATGAACCCTCCAGAACCCTGCGGAGTGTATTGAGCTGGTCCACTGTTCCACGGCCGGGGCAAAAACCACACTGCTCCTCCTGAATCCGAGGTTCGACAATCCGGCGGACCTTCCTCTGCAGAACCCCCGAATAGACCTTACCAGGGAGGCTGAGGAGTGTGATCCCCCTATAGCTGGAGCACAGAGGGGGACCACCACCCCAGTCTGCCATTCCAGAGGCACTGCCCCCGATGTCCACGCGATGCTGCAGACGCGTGTCAGCCAGGACAGCCCCACAGCATCCAGAGCCTTAAGGAACTTCGGGCGGATCTCATTCACCCCCGAGGCCCGGCCACTGAGGAGCTTTTTAACCACCTAAGCAACCTCCGCCCCAGAGATAGGGGAGTCCACACCCAAGTCCCCATACTCTGCTTCCACATTGGAAGACGTGTGGGTGGGATTGAGGAGGTCTTCGAAGTACTCCCTCCACCGACTCAAAACGTCCCGAGTTGAGATCAGCAGCATCCCATCCTCACCATAAACAGTGTTGATGTTGCACCGCTTTCCCGCCCGGAGCCGCCGGATGGTGGACCAAAATCGCCTCGAAGCCATCCGGAAGTCTTTTTCCATGGCCTCGCCAAACTCCTCCCATACCCGAGTTGTTGCCTCAGGGACCGCCGAAGCCGCACTCCGCTTGGCCTGCCGGTACCTGTCAGCTGCCTCTGGAGTCCCACAGGCTAAAAAAGCCCGGTAGGACTCCTTCTTCAGTTTGACAGCATCCCTCACCACTGGTGTCCACCAGGGGTTCGGGGATTGCCGCCGCGACAGGCACAGACCACCTTACGGCCACAGCTCTGGTCAGCCGCCTCCACAATGGAGGCGCGGAACATGGCCCATTTGGACTCAATGTCCCCTGCCTCCCCCGGGACATGGGAGAAGTTCTGCCGGAGGTAGGAGTTGAAACTCCTCCTGACAGGGGATTCCGCCAGACGTTCCCAGCAGACCCTCACTATACGCTTGGGCCTGCCAGGTCTGACCGGCTTCCTCCCCCACCAGCGGAGCCAACCCACCACCAGGTAGTGATCAGTTGACAGCTCCGCCCCTCTCTTCACCCGAGTGTCCAAGACTTGCGGCCGCAAGTCCGATGACACGAATACAAAGTCGATCATTGAACTGTGGCCTAGGGTGTCCTGGTGCCAAGTGCATATATGAACACCCTTATGCCTGAACATGGTGTTCATTATGGACAATCCATGACGTGCACAGAAGTCCAACAACAAAACACCGCTCGGGTTCAGATCGGGGGGGCCATTCCTCCCAATCACGCCACTCCAGGTCTCACTGTCATTGCCCACGTGGGCATTGAAGTCCCCCAGTAGAACAAGAGAGTCCCCAGGAGGAGTGCTCTCCAACACCCCTTCCAAGGACTCCAAAAAGGGTGGGTAATCTGAACTGCCACCTGGTGCATAAGCACAAACAACAGTCAGGACCTGTCCCCCCACCCGAAGGCGAAGGGAGGCTACCCTCTCGTCCACCGCGGTAAACCCCAATGTATAGGCGCCCAGCCAGGGGGCAATAAGTATGCCCACCCCCGCTCGGCGCCTCTCCCCGTGAGCAACTCCAGAGTGGAAGAGGGTCCAACCCCCTTCACGGAGACTGGTTCCAGAGCCCAAGCCGTGCGTCGAGGTGAGCCCGACTATGTCTAGCCAGAACTTCACAACCTCGCGCACCAGCTCAGGTTCCTTCCCCATCAGAGAGGTCACATTCCATGTCCCTAGAGGTAGCTTCTGCAGTTGAGGATCGGACCGCCAAGGTCCCCACCTTCGGCCACTGCCCACCACTTCGTGGCTGAGTTGCTGTTGTTCCCAATTGCTTGCACTTTGTTATAATATCACTCACAGTTTACCGTGGAATATTTAGTAGCAAGGAAATTTCACAAATGGACATTTTGCAAATGGTAGGCATCCTATCACAGTACCACCCTTGAATTCACTGAGCTCCTGACAGCGACCCATTCTTTTGCAAATGTTTGCAGAAGAAGTCTGCATGCCTAGTGCTTAATTTTATACACCTGTGGCTATGGAGGTGATTGGAACACCTGAATTCAATGATTTAGAGGGGTGTCCCAATACTTTTGGCAATGCAGTGTATCTTGGTATGCTGAAGCATTAAGAGTTCCCTTCACTGGAACTAAGGGGCCTAGACTAGCTTCTGAAAAACAACCCCATACCATTATCCCACCTCCACCAAACTTTACAGTTGACACAATGCAGTCAGGCTGGTAAGGTTCACCTGGCAGAGATTAAGACAGAACCTGTTTGCAGTGCTCCAGAGTCAAGTGGCAACGTGCTTTACAACACTCCATCCAAAGTTTGACATTATGCTTGGTGATATGAGGCTTGCATGCAGTTGCTCAGTCATGGAAGCCCATTCCATGAAGCTCCTGGCACAGTTTTTGTGCTGGGGTTAATGCCAGAAGAAATTTGGAACTTACTAAGTCAACAGAGTTTTGGTGACTTTTACGCACTGTGCGCCTCAGCACTAGGCGACCCTGGGGTACCGCAGAGTTCAATTTTAGGACCACTATTGTTCCACGGAAATAAAGGTAGCTGATTACGAGAAAGATCTCGGTGTGTATGTTGATGCTTCCATGTCTCACTCTCGCCAAGTTGGGGAAGCAATAAAAAAGGCCAATAGAATGTGGGGTTTTATCTCTAGGTGTGTGGAGTTTAAGTCAAGGGAGGTGATGTTACATTTATATAATTCCTTGGTAAGACCCCACCTAAAATATTGTGTGCAGGTTTGGTCACCATACCTCAAGAAGGACATTGCTGCCTTAGAAAAGGTGCAATGGAGGGCTACGAGAATGATTCCTGGTCTTAGAGGAATGTCTTATGAGGAGAGGTTAGCGGAACTGAATCTGTTTAGCCTTGAGCAAAGGAGACTAAGGGGGGACATGATCCAGGTCTATAAGATTCTAACCGGTCTGGATGCTCTTCAGCCAAATGACTATTTCAATATTAGTCTAAATACTAGAACTCGTGGCCATAAGTGGAAATTAGCGGGAGAACATTTTAAAACAAATTTGAGGAAGCACTTCTTTACACAGCGTGTAGTTAGAGTATGGAATAGTCTTCCTGCTAGTGTAGCGGAAGCTAAAACCCTGGGTTCCTTTAAATCAGAGCTAGATAAGATTTTAACAACTCTAAGCTATTAGTTAATTTCTCCCCAAACGAGCTTGATGGGCCGAATGGCCCCCTCTCGTTTGTAAATTTCTTATGTTCTTATGCTCTGTTACCGTACATGGTCTGCCATTTTGTGGTTGAGTTTCTGTAGTTCCTAATCACTTCCACATTGCAATAATATGACTTACAGTTCACCGTGGAATATTTATCAGGGAAGAAATTTCATAGACTGACTTATTGCAAAGGTGGCATCCAATGACACTACCACACTTGAGCTGATTGAGCTCTTCAGAATGACCCATTCTTTCACAAATATTTGGAAACCTGACTGCATGGCTAGGTGCTCGATTTAAAACACCAGTAGCAATGGGTCTGAATGAAACACCTAAATTCAATCATTAAGAGGTGTGTCCAAATACTTTTGTCCATATAGTTTATATTGGTGATGAGTGGTGAAAGGGCGCCATTTGGACTCTTGCTTAAAGTACCAAGATGGTCAGAAACAGTACATCTGGGGGCATCGTGTGGCTCAGTGGACTAAGCTTTTGTTCCTATAATCAGAAGGTTGCAGTTTCAAGCCCAGCCTCAGCAAAATGATCTTGTCTGTGGGCCTTTGAATAAGGCTCTTTACTCGCAGCTCCATGGGTGCTGCTCTAGCTGGCTGCCCCTTGCTGTCAAGCTGAGTCGCAGGAAGTCCACTGAGAGCCTGGAAATGATGTCACTGAAGTTCCACCGAAGCCCGCATAAAGTTTGGTGGATACTTTACAATACTTTACTCATGAGCGGTGGCAGCGCGTCCGTTGTTTAATTGCTGTTTCTGTGGTGTTGTCCATGACATTGGCGAAGGATAGTAGAATGGTAAACACAGTTTTAATTATTTAAATATATTCAGTTATTAGTTCTTCAGGAAGGATGGGAACTTCTTTGTTTGCTTAGAAGTGGAATGGTTTTTTGTTCGCTATTGTTTGGCTGCTTTAAAACACAATTCGTCCTTAGGTTGTTACTACTTTCAGTTAATAGCTTAACTTATTTTCATGTGCGGATTACTCTGATCAGTTGAATAGTGTTTTCATGCCGCTCAAATGCATATATACAGTAAGTGTAAGTTAGCCTGACTCAAATCACTGTGCTGCTGAATTGTATTCAAATAATCTCCCTCCTTCAAAAGCCCATAAATGCATAAACAATCGTTTTCACAGTGTTTTGTTTTTGATTTTGACTAACAGATGCACAGGTCAATTTGGCGAAGAAATACCATGCCTCAGCTAGCCAGATGTGCTAACTGCTGCAATCGTTTCCATTACCCTTTGTGCCCAGTAATGATGTTTAAACCGACAACGTTACTACGACTATATAAAGAAATGTGTTCTTTCAAACATTCTGAATGCATGGTTTTTGTCTTTTTATATTCAGTCTGACATGCCAAAGATAAGGAAATTGTGGTACCTAACTGATGAGCAGTGGTCTGGAAAAGTATGTATGTGAAGCATTGTGTTTTACATTGAGATGCATTCAGATGCAGAATCAAGTGCACTTTCTTTGCAGTGAAGGTTTCTGTCAGATATAGAATACCGGGTGAAGCCCAGCAGGGAGGCTGAATATTATATTTTTGTTATTTTTAGGGTGATATTCCATTAATTCGTCAGTGGTAGTGCATTCAGCTAATGGAGAGGTTTTGCATATACGGACACCCGTATTAATGACACCATTGATGAAACACTATCAAGACAATGTTTCAATATCTCAATGTAAGTGATGTTTACTTGTACTACTCAGACATGGACAGAGGTTTGTCTTTTGGACCGAGGAAGCTTCACACCTGCTGAAAGCGAACTTGGAGCCTCTCCAGCTGTTCTCAGACCTGGTGGACAAGCTGTGACTGACTGCTCTACAAAGTGTAATAGTGGTGTGTGTGTCCCTCATTTTTCTCGGGTTGTTTTCGTGTTGACTACCAGCTGCACCTGATTAACTTATTCGATCCCTGATATTCACTTCCAGTGTCATAGGAGTTGCGCATCATGAGGGACCTCTGCAGTGCCATGTGCTGGATTTGCAAGAATCACTCCCTCTTCCATGGAAAAGTGACAGAAGCTGCTGTTCTCCAGGTGGAGGCTGAGGATCAACAGGAAGCACTCAGGGAGGTCCTGGAGGGTCAAAGTGGCAATAGAATTGACCCATTTATATTTATTTTTCATAATAGGGAGGACATGGAAACCTTCCTTTCTAATTGTGTTGATGGGATGGGTCTTAAACTTCATGCCATGTTTGCGTAATACGAATTATTTTCCATCCATCCACCATCTCCTGCTTTATCCGAGGTCAGGTCATGGGGACAGCAGTCTCAGCAGGGAAACCCAGACTCCCCTCTTCCCTCGAATTGTTTTCCTCATTCTGTTATTCTGTTCTTTATATTGCTTATTTGCGCATTTGTTCAAATTTATTCATATATTGATACACTACCTACAAATAAAATGTTGTTTGCCAAATTATGTATAGTGATTTGTTTATGTAGGAAATACTTCTGTTATTCTAAGATAATGTATGTGGAGAAAAGCTCTGAGAGAAGCATAATTTTGCATCCTTTAAGGCTTCAATATAATAAAAAAAATCTGGTCACTATTGACAGTCACAATCAGGACTACAGCTGATAAGTACACAATTTTATTAAATTTTATTTATAATTAAGAATTGCATTACTTGTAATTTGATAAGTACAAACTACTTTTAGAAACGTATAATTCAAATGTGATAAGCACAAACTATTTTTAAATAAAATAATCTTTATAATTTAGTAATACAGTGGTCCCTCGTTAATCGCGGGAGTTACGTTCTAAAAATAACCCGCAATAGGCGAAATCCGCGAAGTAGGATTCTTTATTTATAAAAAGAATATTTTCGTAGTTAGAGCATTGGAAACCTGTTTACGACCTTCTAAATACGGTTTTTAACATTATTGGAGCTCTCTACACATGAAATAACACCCTTTAGTCACCATTACTTTATGACTGCTGGACACGGAAGCAGGAACGGGGAGACGCGGAATCAGGATTGAAGGGTTTATTTGGAAGCACTCCAAATGCAGGACACTGGAACATGTAACATCAAAACGTCAATCACAGACCTGGGGTTATATAGACACTGATGTGGACTTCAAAGTGAATCAAATTGACAGAAAACAGCTGGTCACAATCGGGGTTGCATATGTGGTTAATAAGGGGGCGTGGCACACAAGAGGATCGGACAGGCAGGTCATGACAATTACACTCGTATTACCCAAAATAATAGAAAAAATAAGAAATATTAGACGTTATAAATATATTGTTATTATTGTACATTTCCGATGCGTAGCGATGTATCATTTTCATTGTCTCGATCAACTTTTTAATCAATAGACAAAAAACCGCGATAGAGTGAAGACGCGAAAGTCGAAGCGTGAAGTGGCGAGGGACGACTGTATATGCATACAAACAAGTGATAACTACGAACCATTTTTAAATGAACTAAAACTAGGATGTATCATAGAAAATATCTATGGCTGCGTCTCAGTGGATCAGTGATGTCACTTCCTGTGTGTCAGTGGACGTGATGTCACTTCCTGCGTGTCAGTGGACGTGCGTGTCAGTGGATGTCTGCAGCCAGACTCTATTGGGTCAAGCTTGCTGTGTGTCATGGAGAGCAAGACGAGGAAGGCAAAAAGAAACTTTTGCCACAGGGATCAATGAAGTGTTATTATCTCATCTTAGAAACGGCTGTCCCCATGTATTTGTTGAACTGATCACTAGCATACTCTTTTTTGTTAATCAATACCTCATCAATTTATTTAACTAAGCTTATCTAGTAAGCTGGTGGTGAAATTTAACAAATACACGGAAAGGCTGAGGTGCTCCTGAGGAGTGGTTTAGGAACCAAAGTGCTGTTCAACTAGCAATCCAACAAGATATCAGTAACTTTTTGAAAACAGAAGATTTTCTTATTTTTTTAGTGTTACTGTTGATTAGCATATATCTAATACTGAACTGTGTGTTTTTTTCTGAGCAAAAATATACTTACTACCCAATTAAATAGCTTTAAACATTTTCTTTGTCTGTGACTTTTGCTCAGCACTTGCAATATTACTACTCTTTAATTCTAGCAATTTATGGTGCCCGTCAGTGTAACAGTATCTGGAATTACAGCCAATAGATTCAAATATATATAAACTTAACCTGGATTACATCTGGAAACAGGAAAAACAGGTAAAAACAGGTACAACTGATTATGTAAATAAGCATAGACTGCACAAAAATGATCTATGACAGCAGGTACCTGTGTCTCTTGTGGAAATGTATGATCTTGTGGTCCAGATACTCCTGGTTGGGGACATACTGCTTACTCTCCAAGTGTTGCACATCGAGCTCTTCATTATAGTCACCCAGCTCCGCTGTGGAAGTGAGCCAGGCTCATAAGGGTGTGAATTGTGGGACTTCTGCATTATTATCATAAACAAAGCTGTGTGGCGGCTCTGTGAGCAGCATGCTTGCCTGACACCTTCGGGATTTGAATTTGTTCTTCCCATGTTGTGTGCACCTGATAAAGCTAGTCTGATTTCTTCTTACAGTCCAAAGACCTGGAATCAGGCTAATTGGTGTCTCTAAATCATTCTGTATGTGTACCTTCTGATAGACAGGCATCCAATCCAGACTATACCTTAACCTTAATGCCATACTGCATGGTTCAGGCTGCAGGTCTTGATTACAGTTCTAACCAGGATATGCAGTGGATGAAACTCCTAAATACCCCATGCACACCTGTTATGTTAAAGCAGTGTGTCTCATTCCTGTTCCGTGGGACCCCCAGACAGGCCACATTTTTGCTTCCACCCAGTTCCCAGCAAATCACAAACACCAAATACCTGGTACAGATGTGATTGAGGCCTAGCAGAGAGCATGTGGACTGTCTGGGGGTCCCCCAGGACCAGATTGAGAAACACTGCATTAAAGGTACATTCACACTCACTAAACTTCAATGGTGTGCCTTTGAAATAGTTGTGAGCACAACCATACACATTTAGCTGCAAAGATGACTGACACAACTTGACTTACACTGGAGTATGTGTGATACCAGCAAGGCAGCGCTGTTATCGTTACATGTGAGACTTCCATTGGACAGATCCTGTTTGATCTGTAGTGTAAACAAATATCTGCGTAGAATCAAAGGACAGGGCACATCAGTGGTCAGTAATCACCCTTATACCTCTACAGATAGGCAAATACACAATGCCATCACCTGGTCAAACTTTTCTGCAGCTGGCCAGGGTCTGGTGGGAAGAACTTCACAATGAAGCGTAAAGGCTGATCACTGATGTCTAAAAGATGGATAAAGAAATATGTTCATTTCTATCCCAGAAGAGTGTATGGAGGCTATTTAATGTGAAGAATGACAGCTTACTTTAGCTTTGAATTCTTTGGACTGCTAGCGTAAGACTACAAATTCTTAAACAGAATGTCAAAAAATGAAACAGGGGTGAATATGGGGTTAATGTGTGATGTCCTAAACAGCAATGGTTTCAATGCTTTAAGTATAAAACCCAAGTTTAAATGGCTGTGTTGGAGTTGTCTTTAAACTTCGTTTGTCATTACAATCCTTTTTCCTTACTTACGTCATGCTAAATATTGGTCTTAGCTTCATAAATAGCTCTATAAATATCTCTAAACATGAACCCACATTGGTATCTATGATATCTACTGACTTTATAAACAGCAAAACTGATGACATGTTTTGGCAAATTAGATGTAAATGATCAGAACATCCCAAACAATTAGATTCAGTGCATGTTGTAAGACTTACTTTTAAGTTGCTTTACCAGAGGTTTCAGTGGCTCCAACCACACCTGAAATATAAACAATGTTAAACTAATTAAACTAAACATCATTTATTACAAAAGGAATTAAAGGCAATAAACATCATATTTATGTACAAACTGAGCAGTTGAAGAATATGAATACAGATGTTGACTTTGCTTGATATTTACTTTTTTGTAAAGTTATCACTAATACTGTACATGTATAGGGCTCCTTCTTAGGTCCGGAACCACTAACCCTAAAGCACAAATGGGGCTGTACGTGGGCTCCTACTTATGCTGCCATAGCCATATCTGCCGGAGCATTGCACTTCAT